GTTTTATATATATTATAACAAATTTTAAGTTTTTTAAATTGTTTTTTTCAGACTGAATTTAGGTTCTTTTGGTTAAGAACAAAATTACAAGAAATTGAAGAATTGCGCACAAGAGACACATATAGAAATAATTTTCCTATATTACCTTTACCAAATATCAGTTGTGATACTGATATAAGTTTAGCATTAGCAAATCTTTCCAATTTATATCCTTTAGATGGTTTATTATTTTATCATAAAGATGGACAATACACTAAAGGTCGTACACCACTTGTAACATGGTTAAAACCTTTTATGTTACCTGAAGTACTTGGTGTTTCCATTCCATCACCACTTGATGAACAACCTGATGGTTACATAGATTTTGTACATTATATCTTTAATAGTCGAACTAAAAAAAGGAAGGAAGAATCAGAAAATCAAGTAAGTTTTTTTTAAAGTGAGTATCAATTAAACAATTGAATAATTTGTTTATTTTTATTTATAGATGGATATTGCAGATGAAAATTCCTAAAATTTTATTTTTTTTTATTTATACAAACGAACTTCTTAAAAAAAGAAGTGAATCACAATTAATAAAATATAAAAGGTATTGATAGTATATTTTACGAATATTTGCATTATGTTATACAAATTAATTGGTAATAGTATTTGAAATTTAACAATAATGTTTTATACAATCTGTGATATTTTAAAACTTAAAAAGTTACATTAAAAACAAAATAAATACACATATTACAGAAAGACTGTTACAAACATTACCAAAATATGTTACAAAATTTAAATTTCAAGATTTAATGTATGAAATGTATCAAGGGCTTTTTCGTTTAAATATAACAGAATACGATTCATAGTATCTGTGTTCATTACTTTCATCTGAAAAAAAAGATATAAATATATTTATAAAAATTAAGCAATATAGATAATGTAATTTATTTACCCTGTTTTCCATTATTGTAATTGTAGGAAGATGAATCTTATATAATGTACATAATCCTAATTCAAAACCAGCAACTTTTAACATTTCAGAATATAAAAGTTCACGAAATTTTTCTATATGTTCTAAATTAAAAGCAATTTCAAGATTTGCTTCATCATTTTGATCTTTTATAATTCTAAAAGAAAATTAATATAGGTATAAAAAATATAGGTTATTTCTATATATATAATATAATAGTAGAGTATATATTTATAATTTTTTAAAAACTTACGAACATACAGTGTTAATATTTTTATTAAATCCAAAACTAGAAACTTTATTGTAATTGTATCCGTATTTTTTAGTTCTGGTATTCTATATTCCATACGAATTTCATCTGTACTCTTTGTTTGTTTTTCTTTATTTATTGGAGTAATTACAATTGGAACAAGCCATATTAAATCATCCTCATGTACAGGTAATGCAATAATCATGCAATCAAACATATGACTTAACACATTATGGACAGTTCTTATAGCACCAACTGTGCCACGACATAATAAAAGAGGTAATCTTATGGAATTGGAAGTAATTAATTTACTTTTGGTAGTTCTCCATGATAAAAGTATTCCTTTATAAATACATTTCTTTGAATTTGCTTGATTATTATTACTTTCAGAATAAACTTCAACCTGCAATAACAAGGGATTATAATTCTGTACATATATTTTGAATAAAAAATTATAAATTTTACTGATATTATTATATTTAATAGAATATCAACTTTTATACCAAAAACTATCAACAATTTTTAGTATGCAAGTTTTCTGAATTAATAATATATTTCTCATTGTTTTAAATACTTTATCTGTTGACACTTTACTTTTATTGGTGGTGGATCTAGTGGACTAGGTCTTAATGATATGTTTTCCATAACACAGAATTCTGTATCATATGTAACGTCTTCTTGTGATAAATTCTTTGCAATTTCTTCTCTTAATCGTTTTGCACATTGTTTCAAATATACTTCATCTTGATAAAAATTAAATAAAGTGGAAACTCCAAAAATAGTCCAAGTTTTGTGTAACAATTCTATAAAATGTGAAATATAAATATAGGTATTACATGTTGTTAAGTTTAAATTTAGGAGTTTCAAAACATTAATATGATAATTATAACTAATATACCTTCCAATGAGTCAAAAGCTTCGACTTCTTCTTCTGGAGCAGAACTAACACATAAACTAAATTGTTGTCTTGTTCTTGTTCGAGGTAAACACATTGTGTGAATTATACTACTAGTACTTGGCAATATATTTTCTATGTTATCCTCCATTTCATAAGAAAATAAAGTTACAGGATTAAATTTTAATTAAAAAATATATACTAGTTATTAATTCGCAATTGTCTGAAAGTTTTAATTTTGAATCGAAATTGTACAAAAACATAAAATAACTAAGTACTAATACTAGGGAAATTTTATATTAAACATTATAATTAAAATGACTACATTTAACTATTTTTGTGTATATATTATTCTTATATATGTGATATTAAATAATTTTTAAATCCATAACGAACTGTTTATAATATGATAAATTATTTGATGTTATGTAATATAATGTTCATATGGCTTATTAATAAACATATTAGGTATTTGTTTTTCTATATTAATTTTTTGTGAATTATTAATAATTATGAGCCTATTAGAAGAGTAAGAAATTATTATGTATATAAATTAAAAATATACTACTTAATTATGAGAATAGCCTTTAATCTTTCTATATGTAATAAAATACATGTGTATGTGAATTTTCATTAGTATTGAGAAATTGAACATCAGTGTGTTTATGTCATCTCCCGCGCAAAAACGTTAGCCGTTTAATGATATTTATTATTTAATTTCTTTCAATCGTAGATAACATTTTAACATCTGAATGTTAGCTACTAGAAAGTTATGGGTACAATAGAGATAACGTTTCCGTTTGGCGGACAACCAGGAAAAATATTGAAATGGAGAGTCCGGATGGATACTATGATTTCAGCGGGTAGAGTGCTGTTTTTGTATCAGAATGTTATTCCAGGAACAGAAGATAGTAAAGGTCCTGAGAAGAAATATCGGGCCACACGATTTGGTCGTATTACAAAGATTTTAGCAAAAGAAGGGGATGTAGTTCAACCTGGGTACATATTGTTCTTAACCTTATAAGATTTCTTAATGCATAATTTATTTTACAAATAAAGTTTAATATGTATAAAATTTTATTGAAGTGACATCATTATTTAAAGAAATAGTTTCTTTTATTAATGTTATATGTTTTTATCTTAATATGTATTAATGATTAATGTTACAGGCAAGTGATTATGATATTAGAAGGATGTAAACATCCTACTGTAATGAAAGATTTATGTGCTGAATGTGGTGTAGATTTAAGAGTCGAAGGAATTGGTAAAGAAAATGAAAGTACAAAAATATCACAAGCCAGTGTACCAATGGTACATAGTGTTCCAGAATTAAAAGTATGTCCAGAATTGGCTGAAAAGATTGGAAAGGAAGATGAACAGCGTCTTTTGAATGATCGCAAGCTAGCATTACTTGTGGACCTTGATCAAACAATTGTTCATACAACAAATGATAATGTTCCTCCTAATATGAAGGTATAAATATAAATATACATATAGCATATATCAATAATGGTGAGGTTAACGTTATTAACACATTTCTTTCAGGATGTTTATCATTATCAACTTTATGGACCAAATTCTCCATGGTATCACACTCGTTTAAGACCTAATACTAGACACTTTCTTTCTGAAATGAGTCGTTTGTATGAATTACATATATGTACATTTGGAGCAAGGAATTATGCACATACTGTAGCAGCATTGTTGGATAAAGATGGAACTTTATTTTCTCATAGAATACTTTCAAGGGATGAATGTTTTGATCCTGCCTCAAAAACAGCTAATCTTAAGTACGATCATAATTTACAATATATTTATAATATATTTTACATATATTGAAATATATTATAAATAAATACATATTTTATTAAATAACTTGCTATAGGGCTTTATTTCCTTGTGGAGACGATTTAGTATGCATTATAGATGATAGAGAAGATGTATGGCAAGGATGTGGAAATTTAGTTCAAGTTAAACCTTATCATTTTTTTCGTCATACTGGTGATATACATGCACCACCAGGGCTAGAAAAAAATGATATATCTGTTTTGCCTGACTTACAAAATATAAATGAAGTTTGTAATGATGAAAATCCAAGTGAATCAGATAAAAATGACGCATCAGAATTGTTAAATGAAGGAAATACAATTGATAATAATACGGAAAAGGAAATTAAGGATAAAGATAAAGAAAGTAAACATGAACTTGTAGAAAAAAATGAGAATACCAAAGATGATATTAAGAATAATGACAATCTAAATTTTGATTCTAATAATGAGAACAAACATGAAGATAAAACATCAGAAAGAGAAAACGAAAATTTAACATTATCTGAATCAATACAAGATATTAAAATCGCAAATAAAAATCCAGATGAAAATAATATTATAGATGAAGATGATGATGATTATTTATTATATCTTGAAGACATTCTGCGTAGAATTCATACTAAATTTTATGCTACTATGGAAAAAGAAGGTGGACGGAAATCGTTAAGAGATATTATTCCACGAGTACGGGCTCAAGTATTGAAAGGAGTATACTTAACTTTTAGTGGACTAATACCCACTCATCAAAAACTTCATCAGAGTCGAGCTTATAAAGTTGCCAGAGCATTTGGAGCAGAAGTGGCACAAGTAATATATTAATATTTTTTATCCACAATATTTTAATGATTTTAATGATAAATTGTATTTTAGGATTTGTCAGATAAAACTACTCATTTAGTTGCTATCAGACCTGGTACAGCAAAGGCTAATGCAGCAAAGAAAAATCCAAATATAAAAATTGTAAATTCAGATTGGCTTTGGACTTGCGCGGAACGCTGGGAACATGTTGATGAGCGTCTATTTCCACTTACTGCAAAGGTATAGGTACTATAAACATGACGAATTTGAAAACAGCAAAAATGATAAATACAAAAATGTTATATTTATATTAATAGTTATATATTTTTAGGCACGTGCTTCTAGAATACCACCTCCACATTGTAGTAGTCCAGAACGTATAGAAGAATTAGAAAATAATATAGGAGATAGTTTTGCTAATAGTATTAATCCGTTAATGTCATTCACACCAGAAGAAATAGAAATTATGGATAAAGAAGTTGAAGAAGATATGGATGATCAAGAATTAGATGCACCTGTCTTTGATACAGAGGATATAGATGGTGACGATGAAGAACGTGATAAAAAAACTCGTCAGAGAGATTCTGATTCCGATGATTCACCAAAACATGATCGTATGTGTAATTTATACATTTTATTTTATTAATTGGGTAATATTTTCATTAATATCTAGTAATATTTTATTAATAGGCAGTAATGCAAATGAACCAATAAGAAAGAAAAAGAAGTTTTCTAATGACAGTTCGGATGATACTTCAAGTGAAAATGATACTCCAGATGATGACGATGACGATCCCGTAACGCGTTTTAGAAGAGGAGAAAATTTACCTGATGATTTAGATTTCGGTGATAATTCACAAGATTCAGTTGAAGATCTGGAAATAATGGATAATGAAGATGAACGAGAATGGAACGAAATGGGAGCAGCGCTTGAAAGAGAATTTCTTTCTGAATGAGTTATTACAAAAGTTGCTTGTTTTGCATTGATACATTTTAACAGTCATCAATTATTTTGATTCCAATAATTGGAAACAATTTTGTAACAAATTTGAGATAATGTATAAATTTAACAAGGAAAAATACAAAAAAATCGTTTTGTATTTAATTGAATTTAAAATATACGCATAAATAATATTAGAATTTTAATAAATTGTAATTTTAATAATTATTTCATAATTTTAAAAATGCTCTGATTGTATATTAATTATGTAAATAATGAATATATAAAATGATTCATTTTTATTAAAAAACTTTTCTTAAAAGATAATATTAAATGAAAAAAACGTTTTTTTGTTATTATAATTTTATATATATTATAAATCTTTATCAACCTTTATTAATCACTAAACATATATATGAATTATGAGTTATCATGGGTTCACAGCATATGGATCATAATCTTTTGGATCGTCACTATATTTTATATAAGTTTTCTTGTCTGTAAAATCTCGTATGCCTGCCGTGATTCCTCTCTCTGGTGCTTCATCATATTTATACATAGATTTCAAATCTCCAAAAAGTTTAGCATCTTCTTCAATATGTTCCCTAATTTAATTTAAATATAAAGTTGTAATTTTAATACAAATAATTAAAATAATTATTTGTATTAAATAATTTAAATAAATTATCTTAGATATATCAAAAAAGAATATACCTATATCTTCCTGCAACAACCTTTTTACCACTGATAGGATCTGTAATATCACCTAATGGATAAATGACATCAACAACCTACAATCAAATATAAATTGAAAACAGAATTATATTAAGAAATTATAATAATATATTAATAAAATATGACATATACATTTTTTGTAATATACATACTTTGTGAGTGATAAGACGGGTTAATTTTTGTGGTAAATTTTGTATTAAAACTGTATCACCTATTTTGCAAAGTTTCTGGGGATCGGTAGCATAAACAAATTCGAGTTTGGTAAAGTACTGAAATGTGAAATGAAAACATAACCTCAAACTAAACACAAAAATACTTTAAATTTACATACCATTGAAAGATATGAATCGAAATCTGCTCGTTTTACTCGTATTTTAGCAGCATTTTGTTTAGAAGATGGTACACATACACCTAATAAATAGGTCAATGCTTGCTTTCTCGCGATATTGTGTGCCATTACTATACAGTTGTGATATTTATGCCTAAGTATACATATACATGTATATACTCTATCTATCCTAGCATGGATTGGAAAGTAGCATAATTGATTTTATAATATTTTTGTTCTTTTACATTAAAATTACTTCATTAATCACTATATGCATTCTAACAAATAGATTTAGTTTATATTTTTCATTTATTATTTTTTAAAAGTATTCTACGCAAAGAATTCTAGTTGTAAACTACTTGATTTCAGTAATTGTAATATTCCATAGAATATTTTTTTATTTTTCTAGTGATGTTTTACATTACTATAAATTTGTAAAATTTGTAAAATTATGCTAATTATTTCGAAGATTAGTAGTCAATGATATATTTATATTTCACATGAAAAAAAATATGCATAGTATTTATATTGGATTCTAAACAGATTCACTATCATCAGTGTCGGCATCCAAGAATACTCCAGGGATCCATGGGCTTTAATAATAATTAATCTCCAACTACTAACAGCGCAACTCTAGTTTTCGATAATGGGGCACTCAATTACGCGCTTCCTTAATTAATAACATCCAAGTAGATACTGAATATACATAGTTCAAGTAAGGGAAAAGTCAGTAAGAAAGTGCATGTGTTGCATTTCATTTTATCACATTATTTATTTACTGGTTGGCCCCCCCTTTTTTTTTAATTTAACACAATTTCTAATTTTAGTCACGATTTCATGTTCTCTTTTGTCGTATTGTGGCGTGAGATCTACAATGTGTCAAAATCGCATGAAGAAAGAATAAAATCTGGCGAGACAGAAAAAGTTTGAGTTGACAGAAGACAACATTTTTTATACAAACATTTATAATCAGATCGTTGTTACAGGTTTTGGACAATTGCTTAGAGGAAATACCAATAGATATCGTAAGAGGATTCACGGAGATAATGAGCGAAAAATAAGTATTGTATAAAGAGATCATGAAAGGAGCAGCTTTGAATCAAAGACCAGATATTTCGAATATATTACTTTTGTCCTTTATTGCCTTCTGTTTTATGTATTACGTGTATGTACTTATATCCCTTTGGCATCTGCAAGTTGCATTGTTATTGCGGGATGTAAAGGAGCAGGCAAATTCACGGGTGATCGCTTTGTGAATTGGCGACCGAGTCGTCAGTCAGCCAGGGAATTCCATTGTCAGTGAAAAAATCGGGACAACTATGGGTCGGTTGTAATTGTTGCTTCTGTTACAATGTATCTTTTTCCTATAAATTCGTTTTTTTTTTCCCCCGAGCTAACAATTTGTCGCTTATAGGGCCACGAAAAATAATATTTGATGTGTTCAAACAAGATGAAAGTGTGGAGCTAAAAATATAACACAATTATTACGGAAGTATAGGTTCGTGGTATATAATTCAAAAATTGATATGCGATTTACTGACGGTAAATATTTATAATGAAATTAACAATGTCATCGGTTTATGCTTAGCGTATATAATCACAATGCAAGTTTTAATTCAAAAGCCTGCCTGCATCAATTCCCGTTTTTCCGATGTGTACTTATCTGCATTTACATATAAATATGATCGCCCTTGCGATTCCATCAGTCGCAATATTGCGCACTATACATACGGTCAAAATGCATAAATTAAATTCGTTTTGTTATGTATGACTATTCGTATAGGCAGTTTATGCCAAATGTATGCGTGTAAAAGAAAATTCAACTAGATTATATTTTTTGCGACGTTAAAAGAAATAAGATAAAAAAGTATTTGTTATAAAAAAAGAATTCATTTTTAAATGTAAGATATAGTAAAGGTAAGAGATTTAGAAAAGCGGTAATGTTGATACTCTAAATATTTATTTTTCACGTGATTTTTCACGTGTATAAATTCACGCATAAACATGTCACAAGGGTGAATTTTCCGGAAAGCACAGCTGCGACGAAGGGTGAGCAAGAGTATATTTACATATGTAATCGTTCCCTGATTTATGGCTGCTGAAAAGCGAAGCAGAAGGTTCTGATGCTTTATTTTCAAATTTCGACATCTATATAGTACTACAGATTAATCATCGGAAACAATGAAGACGCTATTAGCTTTATCTTATTTTTACACTTTTTTAAATTCTTGGTCGTCGCTTTTACAAACGTATTCATATACAAAATAGCAATTATTGTATTTCAAATTTGAAGATTTCCTGCCATCTGTTTCACGACCATGGTATTAGTCAAAAGTCGAAGAAGCACTTTTGAACACTTTTACTTTCAACGTGATCGTTGTTGTTCTCGTTGCGCGTGCAATGACTTTGAACGGTCCCCTTCCGGGAAGAGCGTCAGTAGAACATAAAGAGATTTTATAGAATGTACGTGATCTCCATAGGATTTAATGGTGTTGATGCACATGAAACAAAATGTCACGGGACATTACACTCTCTTCCGGTTCATCTGGCCGATAGCTTTGTCCATGCATAAACCGCTGTCTCTTTTCACCTCCTGTCCCGCCTTTCCTCTACCCCACCCGTCTGTCTCCTGAACGTGGTTGCTAGCCTTTGAAATCTATTTTCATTGTATGTAATAGCTTTTTGATGCCGGAGCTCACTGCGACGAAGCATGCCGAGTGCATCGTTCGGTTATTGCGGTGCATTGATTTCTGAAAGGCTAGCTAACGTTAGCCTGATGCACGGCTCGTACAGCGCAGACCGGAAACTCGTCTTCGATGTTATCCATTTTCCAGATTGCGAGACAGAATAAAGCGAACGCGTGCCGGGCAAAATACTCTGTTTCTGCCTGCTTTTTTAGCCGATAATACTCGCCAAGCATTTATCGCGAAAAACTTCGCGCGGCCTTTCACCTCCTCGGATTCCATGCCCGTGATATATCGGACAAACTCCTAAAATGTCTTTTCTATTTTTCTCTCTTTTTTTTTTTATGGAATCGTGATTCACAGAAACGGAACATACGTTTCCATTCCAAACGATATGATTTCGCGCCGAGGTAAATCGATGAAATCTGTTTCATTTCTTATTCAGCAAAACTACATTTAAATAAAGTAGATATTATATACTTAGACGCGAATTATATTTATAATAAGAATTATATTTCGCTGTAACTTGCTTGAAAGTGAAAACGTTCTTAGACGTACGTAGAATAAGTATATGATTATTCTACGTTAACACGTATAAATATGTATATGTACGTGTTAATAACATCTATAAATACATATATATATTTCGGTTTTTACCGTATATGTTAATTGTAATTCAGTCATTGTTTTATAATGTTTGAATTACAATAAAAATTGTAGTGAAAAAATCGAGCGTTCAAATATAAACGAAATTGGCGCTCGATCGAATAAGTAGGTGGCGCAACAGTACCGCGAGTTCACAATCGATATATCGAGCGACTGCGATCAAGTGTACTATAGTGTAACGGTGCGCGTCGGTTCGTTTCGTTTTTGGCGCGTGAAACGTTCGAAATATCGTGTTTTTCGCGTAAAGAGAGCAAAGAATCGGTGATATTGTGGCGTGCGAGACAAATTTAATCGCCGTAAAGATACAAGAAGCAGTACACGATGCGATTGCTACATAATATATACATCTACAAATCCTCGGGATTCGGCGTCTCATTCCATATCTACTTGATATTTAAAGGTAAGTGACGCAATAT